GAAGGCACTATTTAACAATCCTACAGTATTAATGCCAGCTTCTTATATGTTTGGCAAAAATTTATGCTACAGGAACTGTGCAACGAAGGACTAAGGGTGGGAAAGAGCTTAGAAGCTTTCAGGAAGAAACAAAGGTACAGTGGGTTTGAAGACATAATGAGTATGAGTACTTGAACTTATTCTCAAAAATTCTATCACAAAAATACTTATGTGAAGATAACAGATGATAAAACATTTCAGAAAGACTACACTTACTTGAATTACCAATGAAAAATACAACTGCTTTAAAAAGCGAGCAAGGCTTGAGAGGATCATAATGGCTCCTGGGAAAGAACAGACTGTCCAGAAAAGCAGAGAAAAGGCAGGTGGGTTAGGCATTCATTAGTAGAAGGGTAACAAATTGGTGGAATGTAATTTGATATGTAAGAAAAAGAGCTGGAGTTAAAACCAGCTTTAAGAACCATATAGTTCTGAACACACTGCAAGGACATTGCATTTCCAAATATCCAATCACCTTAACTTCAGAGCAGAATCCTCTGTCTGCTTGTGCAGAGAAAGCCTCTAATCAATGATGTATACAGGTAATGACTGGCCAAAGATCACTCAGAAGCATTACACCACTCAAAATTAAAAACACAAGGGGCAAAGCAAGCAATCAAGGCAGTTAACCAGGGAACAAGGCATTCATAAAACAAACATTCAAAATCATCACAGGACTCCCAGCACTCCCAAAACTGACAGGTTTCCTCCAGGATTTCAGTGCAGGTGAATTAGTTGAGATTAAGAGTTGTTTCAAAACCTAAGGGCGTCCATGAAGTAGACACAATGCATTTCTTCTTCACACTGGCAATTCTACACTTAAGGAGAAAATTCCTTTCAAGGGTGTAATATAAAACGTAATAAGAGGACTTTAGCATAACAGAAATTAAATGCAAGAAAAATTAACCAATCACAATTCTGTTTTTCTGATGTAACTACTCAAGATAGATGATTTTATAAAGAAATCGGTTCCAAGGATTATGTTAGAGAAACTCAAACATTTCTCTCCCCCTTCCATCATCTTTCTAGCAAACCAATGGGGTGATTCACAAACAAGTGAATAACTCATCTTTTTGGCAACCCTCTGTAGTGAATACTGTGTATATTTGCAACAAGCTATCCCAAACCTTATTATGACATTTCCAGTAAGCATGACAGTAATATTTAAGATACACAAGAAGAAAATAAAAACTTGCAAAAAATAAGAAAGCCATAAATGGTGTGCATGCAAGCAGTTTGTTTGTTTAAGAGTCAGCAACAGCACTTCCATCAGTCTTAGGGGGATTCTCTTCGAACCAATTAATGAAGAATTAGACACTGACAAGGACGAACTAAAAACAATTGAAAAAGCTAGAAATCCTTTCTATTACATAATTTGTCTGACTTAATTCCACACCAAAACACAGGCTGAACTCCAAACTGGAGGAAAAGACTAAGAGAATATAGTTCCTCTTGTTTCTTCTTAACATTTAACAGAAGTACCCAGTGTCTGACTTCACTTTTTGTTTGCATAGGCAACAGTAAAATGGCAAACTGTGGAAACAAAAACACACAGCTCAATTTTGAACTATCACATTTGAAATCACTACAAGCGACAACTTCAGGACCCAGCAAGTTCTTCGTTTTCTGACTTAAAAACACTGTCAAGAAGAGGTATTAAAAACAACAAAACTGCTACAGGAGTTCTGAAATCCAAGGAGATTCCAGACAATGACAGATCTCACGTCAGACCAGACTTACTGGCAACACAACTGTATAAAGTCCCTGCAAGTGTTCCACACTGGTAGTATCACACGCGACTTCACAGTGTGAATAAATAATTTTTTAGGCTGTAAATCCACATTCACATTCTTCTAAAAATAACTCTGACCAGAGCCTAGGAATTGCCAGCAAGGGCCTTGAAAGAGGCAAATGTCCCCTTCAAAACGTCCCTCCTGTTAAAATAAGACTCTCATACAAAGTAATTAGGTGTCCACAGATAAAACCTGAAATATATGAACCAAGTATAAGCAATAAAAGCCTTGCCTATGCAAGTCTGCAGACTCCAGAACAGCAACACCTCAATATGGTGTATTACAATTACCACAACGTCAGCTGTTGTGTTTTACATGTCAGACAAGAGCCCGAAGATTGCAAATATGCACTATTACTGAAGTGTCTTTTCCTTTTGATGCAACAAGTGGGTGTCAGCAGAGAGAGCAACTGCTGCTTGATTTAATTCGCTCAAGAGAGCTCAAAGAACTAGGTCAAGACCCAGAAGAACATGCACTCATACACTGAGCCGGTAGTGAAAAGTTGGCTAAAAGCATCTAGAAGTTGAAAAAAATATATTACCATTGCAAACATCAATCTGACTTGCAGAGCCATACAAATCAATTCCACATATCTCTGCCAAACTAAAGATGTCTTTATTTTCCACACCAATATATTTTTAAAAATTCAGTTCCTTTCCAGCAAGCGAACACGTGCAACAAGACTTAATACAAAACATGAGATAAAATACATTTATATGCTTTGCCCTATGCTTATTTCTACATCTCAGGACTCACAGCTTTTAAAAAGGCCAACACTGTTCCCTTTCTTTACAGCAGTAAAATTTAAAACTTAATCTGCTCCGGAAAGCCTATGGTTAATGCAAAGTGTACTTTATGGTACCAAGCTAGTGAAAACTGAACATTTGTCCATAGCACAACATGGCCAGATTTCAATTCAATTCAATATAAATTGCATTCTCTGCTCATGTAAGGGCAATATTCAGAAGAGAATAAAGTTTTGCAGTTACAGACAAGGAGATACCGATGAGGCAGGTGATGGTTACAAAGATCAGCAATAACAAGAAAAGTACTGACACTGGCCTAAAGATAAAAGGAAAAGTAGAAAGAGTTTGTGTAATCTCTGTTAACTGTGTTTCTGGCTCCGCTTAGTGCAAACATCACCTCAATTCCAGGGTCATGATACGGTAGAATGATAGAGAAATTAAGTTTTGTTAAAAAAAAAAAAAAAAAAATCAAGCAAAGAGATAATAGCTCTATGTTAATTAAAAATTAAATTCAATTGCCAATGTTACCTATTTTGCTGTCTGTTAATAAATATAAATTACTATCAGCAGAAAGGAAATAAAACAACTCTTGAAGCAGGCACTGTTGTTTGCCGACTTCCTTTGTGACAGTGTTAAGGCCCTTTTGCTCCACTGTTGCAAAAGAAAGAGCTAATTTACTAGAAAAACGAGAAATGCCAAGAATCAGACAAGGAAAATGGACTGCTCTATACAATGATGGCTTTACATGAGTAGCTTTATAGGAGTAACAAAAACCTCTATGAAACCTTAGTGTACTTCAATCAAAGCATGTGGGAACCAGCCAAGTCTGCAGTTTTTTTATAGAAAGCAGTTTTCATATTTCCAAGAGCAATCCCACAGAATCTACCCAGAAGAGCAGCACCACACCACTACGAGTGCACCCAGGTGAAAACTCACCTAAAAGACAGCTCTGTCTGAAGAACTCCAGTGAACTTATAATTTCAATCTTTGGCCAAAGAAGTATCCCGACAATGAATGCTACATAGCAGTTCTCTCTGCTGCTCTGACTTTCCTTCTGCAGATCTCCTCACCTACCACCCTCCCCTTGCCCAACAGCTTCCACAAAGAGCATCCCAATGCAAACGGGGGACCTCACCTTTCATTTTGACAGTGGGGGAATTGGGTCCAGCCGATTGTTTCCTCCATCCTCTCCAGTTCTGGCAAAGGCTCTCCGCCTCAGAGATGAAGGAACAAAGAGAGTCTTCTTCAAAACGATCGGAGTCTTCAAATGAAAACCTCTCCCCGTCCTCCCACTCTGCGAACATGAGTTCCATCACATCCGACAGGCGACGAGAGGGAAAAGAAGAAAGACCGGAACAGCACTGCTCACTTTTAACAGGTGAATGGACTTGAGGGCTCTTGCAGTACTTAAAATCTCGGTTTTGATTTGATCCCCATAGTACAGTACCAGGAAAAAACAAAGTCAGCGCTGTCTGAGATGGGAGAAGCAGGAAATAACTAAAGGGTAGCTGGTAAAAATTCCGTGGGCAAAAAAAAAGTTCTTTAAAAGTTAAAAAATGCTTATGTCCACAGAATGTACTTGAGGCGGAGGGGGCTGGTTAGTCCATGAGAGCTGCCTCCATGCGGGACAGGTGCCTGCCGGGAAGACGGAGGGTCCGAAGGCTCCCGGCGCTGCAGGACGAGGGAAGGGGCCGGCTTCCTCCTCCGGGGCTCCCGCGGGGGGGCCGCCGGTGCCTGTGCGCAGGGCCGGGTCTCCCTGAGGTTGTGCTTGTCTCACTCCCGGCGCAGGAACCGAGGGGAGGGCAGGGGCACCGGCGGGGGCTGGGGGGGGGGAACAACTTCCCTCCCTCTCGCGGGGGCTTAAAAACGGCCCGGTGGGGCCGGAGCGCCCGCGGAGGGCCGGCGCGACCTCCTGGCTGCTCGTCACGGGCACCGGCACCGACACCGGCGCGGGCGGGCAGGCGGCGGCTCCGGCCTCAGGGGGGCGCGGGCGGCGGCCGGCGGGGAGCGCCCGGCGCTGGTCCCGGCGGGCAGGGCGGGGGTAGCCCGTCGCCGCTCTGGTCACGGTGGCCCCGCGGTGTCTCTATGAGCCCATGGCCGGCGGGCCCCGCTGGACCCGGCGCGGCCCCGGCGGTTCGCGGCCCCGGCGGGTCCCGTCCCTGCCCGGCGCGGGCACCAAGATGGCTCCGCGCTTCCCAGCTTCACCTGCGACACCCCCCGCCAGCTGAGCGCCGCTTCCGCCGCCGCGCTTCCGGCTTCCGCCGCGCGGGGCATGCCGGGCCGGATTGCTGCTCCCCACCCGGCGATGCCGGAGAAGGAGCCTGAGCGTCCCCAGGGACCGGCCGGGGCTCGGCTGGCGCCTGCCCGCCGCCGCACAGCCAGCGGGGCGCTTGGAGTGGCCGTCATACAACAAAAACCTGTGTGTTGTGCCTGCCCGCACCGCCACAGGCAGCGGTGCTAAAATGTGGGGGTTACCCCGGAACGCACCGAAGAGTTGCGTGTGGTAGAAATCACTCAGCTGGGACCGCTTGATTGGAAATTAAAGAAATATACGAGTTCTCAGTAACATGTTCTATTAGACGAAAAACAGTAGGAAAGAATATCAAGGGGAAAAAGGAAATAAAGTGAAAGGACAGTGGCTCGAGTAAATCCCGTTCAAGTGCAATGCCCGCCTTCCTTCGGCCGAGAGCCCCCGGCTCTGAGCTGCTGAACAACTCCAAAATTCAAACACAGGAGATAACTCCCGTGCCAGCCCCATGAGGAGTTGCATAGGCTAGCTAAGGTCTTCCTACCTTACCCACTCTGAAAGCAGCAGAGGTTACGTTCTTTTGTTTGGTTGGGTTTGTTTTTTTTTCTAATTATATTTCTTGGAGTTCTTCTAGCTCATAGCTCCGTTGAGAGAGTTGTCTGGTAAAATACCAAAGGGTAAATTTGCTCTTTGAGTACATGGCAGCCAAACAGCTGGATCTACATCTCCCTCTCTGTGTTTGTACAGAGGGGAAAAGCAAATGACAAGGGGAAAAACAAACTGCTAGAGAAAAAAGAATGACATACTAAGAAATGGTAAATGTAGAGCTGAGAGAAACTGAATTGCATCTGGAAACACTATTTCCCTCATCTCATTCTAGTCCTTGATCCAAAAAATTATATTAATTGATGAGTCCTCACAGAGGGTCCTAAGAAATGCACCTTGGATCTTAAAGGAAACTTCCTAAGTGGTTTGTCCTTACAAACATAATGCTTCCCAGTTTAAGATTTTGAACACCAAGATGCATTACTGCGTGTCCATCAGCTGTAAGAGGTATGGTCCCTCATAGAAATGTCAGATCCTTCAGTGCCACCAAGGCAGACATCTCACAAGTGCACTGGGCAGGGAGGCACAGCACCGGGTGAGCCAGCTCCAGGCCACAGCACAGCATGCTCTGTGCTCGTGTGCTGCCTAATGCCACACTAAAATTGTCCTGTGCTGATGCCTGACCCATCAAATCTGTACTGCCAAATAACCTGTAAGAGCATGATGCCAGCAGTAATTCAGGAGAGAGACTCACCTGCCTGATAATGGGAATTCTGGTGGATTGCATCACTGTGAGTCAAAGGCATTGCAGAGAATCTCTACCACGTGAGAAAGCAAAGATGCACAAAGGCATTGTAATACTTGGTGCAGTGTTGCATTAAAGAAGGATTTCACCTTAGGAAAGGTGTTTCCCTAGTGAGAAAAAAGCATTTAGAAAACTAGGAATTTCAAAGACTAAAAAAATACAGCTGAATTTTTGAAGAGTATTTTCATGGAAAAAAAAAAATGTGTCCAAGGAGTGAAGAGGTAACTGCAGGTGAAATTCAGCACCCTGACTCACATATTGTGGCACTTGAAATGACAGAAATGGTCAGGGAGAAACAGGGATGCCATAAGGCTGCTGCTGCTGCTCACCAATATCTTTTGACAACTTTATGTCCAACACAGCACTGTTAGGTTTTACCTAAATCCAGTAGAGAATACATATTGCATCAAGAAAGGGCAGAGGACAGGAGGAATATTAGACAGTACTAATTATAAGGGCAATTCAGTACATTGTGTTTGATTCCATTAAATTGTAACAATCCTCACTCCCATTCCTCCTTCTTCCAGCTTTGGAATACCACAAGTTATGGAGATTTCCAAAGAAATCTTGCTTTCAGTTTCTTAAACATCACAGGCTGAAAGCATGGAAGAGGTGATGAAAATAACAAGACAAGCAAAGCAGAGTGAATATTTGCACTTTCATCTTAGTGCATTTCAAGACCCTGTAAAAATGTGTCTTCTGACTTGTGCAGACCAGGTCTGGATGTGCTGTTGCCCTGGCCACCATGAGGGAGTGCAGGTGTGAGTGCTTCGCTTCTCCTTGTCCTCGTGGCTTGGAAAGGCACACAAGTTCATAAACACTCATCCATTTTTTCCCAGCCAACTTATTGCATGCGAGAGACATGGATTTTCCCTTGTGGATCTTGCAACAGACAAAAACTAGAGACTGTGAAAAATAGTATCTGACAATTTCAGCGGTGTTCTGCTAGGAGGAAGAAAGAAATTCAGTAAGAAATCCTGCAGAAATTACAAGGTTACCAGTAAGATGCTTTCTCACTTACAGGGATGTACTTTTTTTCCTTTTCTTATTTCAGAAAATGGAAATTGCTGTTCAGAACTCCTCTGCCTCCAATGTAGACAATTTTCAGAATGCAGCATTCCATATGAGAGAGACTCATATGAGTGCACATGCATACCCTGAAGCAGAATTGCAACATTTACATTTGTTTCCTGTCTTAAGCTCTCGCTGGGGACTAAAAATCAATGAGAGTCTGCATTGCACCCCAGAAGTGTCTGCTTTTCACTGGTGAGTCATGTGCTACACTACAAGTCATATCCAGCATGTTTTTTATTTGTGATTGCATGCAAAGTAAAACACATCCTTGCTATGGCTTGAATCTAATACAGACTCAATAACAAAATACAGCACTCTAGAGATTTTCACTGCAAGTGCAGTGGGACCCAGCTGTTCAGCTCCATTCTGACTCAACAAAGGTTTCATTGTCTCTTTGCATGCGATAATGCACTCAGAAATGACAAGCAAAGGCAAATTCTTAAAGCGCACATATGGCTTTGTGTCTAAGTAATACATTGGATATGCAGAGTAATCGTTTTTTGTGCTCTAGAACTATGGCACTGTGGCAAACTGCCAACAGTTCCTGTTCCTCCTAGATGATCACTATTTCATGCTATACTGATCACTTAATTAATAACTAATAATAATTAATAACAGATATTAAACATCTCCACAGACATAACCAGCCTCAATTATTTATTTCAAAACACTAAGCATGTACAACAGATGGAACAAATAACTGTTTTAGCACAAAAGAAGGGACAGCATACAGCTCATTGCTCCTTGCTCTGCTTCTAACTATGCAAATGCCTGTACAAGATGCACAGAGCTTTTCCAAACAATGCATACTAGGAAGCTGAAAGTAAAGCTGTCCTGAGATATTACAAGCTAATTTTCCCCCATTTGGATTGAGCATTTCCCAATCTTTGACTAATCCTTGCCACAGAAGACTTTGAACTGATGTTATCCAAGGTTCTATCTCTGGGATCTTAGAGAATATGAGCATATGCCTGATTAAAGCCTTATTCAAAACTAAATTCACCATTTGTGAGATAAGTGACTGGTATGTACATGGAAAACAGCTGCTAAACTTACTGTTATACAGCAGGGGACAACAATGATGGCTAAGACCTTGGGTATGAACATAACTGCTACTCTTCAGAAAGAGAAGATGGCATGTACAGATAATACTGCCTGCAAGGATTACTGAGCATATGTTGTCTGGCATCTTGTATTTCACAGGAGACAAGTATATTTTCCTCTTCCTTTCACACTAACCTGCAGGAGCATTTGTTTTTGTTTTCACACTTTTTTTTTGCCATTACCAAAGCTGACAGTCTGGCAGGGTCTAATATACACTGTACATTCACAGATAAAAGCACAAAGCTAAAGGGAACTGAAATGTTCTCCATTTTGCAGAGAGGAAAGAAAACAACTGTTACACTGCATGTCCTCTTTTTTCTAAGTCAGTATCACATTTGGACATTTCCTCAGCCAGTGTGAAAAATTTGTGAAAGCAATATAATAACTCTCTCCTTTGTCTAGAGAGCAGGTTAGATACATCATTTGTGGAAACTCAGCAACTGATAACTCAGTTGGTCTAGAGAGTATTACCCTAACTAGCAATATTATACTGTTGAAAGCTTCCTAAGTACTCCAAAAAGCCTCTTTTGGTGCAGGCAAAACATAGGTTCCTTGGCTTATTTTCAGTTCACCAAAAAATAATCAAGGAAAATTGCTAAATGTGACACTCCTTCTCTATCAATCTACAATTTTAGAAATCAAAAATGGTAATTAAAAATAACAAGTGCTGCAGTAGCTGACTCTTAACACACCTTTGCTGCAGAAGAGAGGTTTCTGTATTTGAGGGTACAGTCAGCTGGTAAGTGAAGGATAACCGTTAGGGAATATAGGAAGCCCATTTGTTCATGTCAAGGCCAACATACACTTCTCTGCAAGCAGATCTTGGCTAAGTGAAGTAATGTTCTGCTGTATTTACATGCTTTTCCTATCTTCAGGAGCAGAAGCTTTCCCCATGCTATGGAACCTGCTCCTTCAGATGAAAACTTGCCATAGCAAAATTTGCACTATAGCTGCTTCTTAGCAGTAAAGTCTTTCAAATTAGTATTAAATATAGGGACAAAAGATTGATGAGAAAAGGTGATTCTAAAATGCAAGAACAACTGTACAATATTATGGACAGTAAAATGGTATGTATTCTCCACAGCTTTTCCCTAGAAAAATAATCTAACCATGGAGTTAGGGATGTGAGGGGTTTTATTTTAAAAATTGCGTTTGTGCTACCTCATCAGATCCCAATGGGAAGTTCAATTATCAATTAAATTGTCAATCTAGCATAAGGTTCTCTCTTTCAAATAGTGTGGTTGCTACAACCACGCAGCAATGCTTCATTAAAGAAAACACACCTAACAAATTCTGTGCTCGTGGGTGTGGGTAGGGGTCAGTGCTGTGCCACTTACATATGTTTAACTGGCCTCTTGTGTAAGAAAGAGGAGACACTGATAAAGATATTATGCCTGTCATGATGACTGAACAATACCTGGACTGCTAGATACAGAGACACCTCAGTCACTTTTCTTTTTCTGTAATAAGTGAGGGGGGCAAAATTTCCCTAGGCCTATTGACTTGAGCAAGTAGGATTTATTGCAGGGTGCTCTGTAAAACAAATCAGTCAAGCCTTAAAATTATCTGAATGCTTATTGGTAAAGGGTGTTCACCTGTTCTACCTGCAGGTCTCATATCCCTGGTGTACTCAGGTGGCAAGCTCTTTCAACAGGATCCTCCTTTATGAGACTTAGGGATTCTTAGATTAAAGCCACTGCTTCTATTTTCATCTCTCTTCTCTAGGCAGGTGACCAACCCTTAGCAGGTACTGGCAGCTGGTTGGTTTGTGTGCTGTCTCAAAGACTACTGGCTTTTTTAGTCAGATCTTCATTTTCAGCCATCTTCCTGCAAAATACTGTGACAAGATCCTATAATACTTACTATCCAAAACTTTAATGCATTTCCCAATAGAATTAGTTCACATATCTTCTTGGGGGAAGGTAACTATATTTGTGTAGTTCTATCATCACCTTTAGTGTTAAATTTAGCAAACTGCATTTATTTAGGATGGTTAAATGAAATAGTAGTAGAAATTTAGTGAGTAGTGGCACACTCTGCTTATTTCTTCAGGAATCTTGTGTGTGGACACTCCTGACTCACCTGAACAAAGGCATCTAATTCAAATAGTGCATCATCCATAAGTTTCAACCACAAAGTTGCATCAGTTTAACCAAGTTGTTAAACCCATGTAACTATGAAGACGAGCCTTGCAAGAAAATAAAGATTTCTCCAGTCTTAACTAACTCAGCTGTAGCTTTAAAATGTGGGGAGTTAAAGGGCTTTCTGTTGAGATTTCAGCATAATTGTGCTGATTAACAGAATCTGCTTCTTAGTCTTGCAAGAGATAATAAAATGGTAAACCTGAAGCAAAGGAGCTTCCCTCTGGTATGCTTGGTCACTAGTTCTAGAATCTCACAGTCAGATGTTATAATCCCACTTTACCTCCAGTAAGCCTGTACATGTGAGTGGGGAAAAGAATAAGGAACTAACTACTAACTACTTTAGAAGTACATGCTCTTTTCATACAGCTCTGGCTTACACAGAGCAGATTAGTTAAATTGCAAAGAAGAGTTTTTGTTGTTTGAAGTGGTTCTGTCCTGTTTCCAAGAAGAAAGTGGCAGAAAAGTATAAACTTTTGCAGTGGTTTCAGCTGAGTTATTCACTTACACTGGCACAGTAAATCTCCCCACACTCCCAGTGTCTGCAGTGACGAGGGGGCTGTCCAGGCTGGCAGGTGGGCAAACAGGAGAGCACACTGCTGCACAGCTTCTCCTCATGGAAACCCTCAGCAGTACCTGCTGCTGCCTCCTGAGCCCCAGGGCTGCCAGGGGCTGGCAACCAAAACATCCTCAGCAAACGCTTCCCAACAGGATTAACTTGCTGAAATTTAAATTCCTGCCAGCTTGTTTCTTCTGTTGGGCAGCAACTGAACATGAGTCCAGCACTGAGTTTCACCTGTTCCCAGCTCAGCCCTTCGCTTCCCTGATGTGTGCATGAAAGCCACTGCAGATATAAAGGGATAGGAGAAACAAAGCCTTTTGCTTAGCTGACAGAGCAACACAGCTTCACAGCTTCTCATTAGTAAAGCTGATCCAAAGAAGTTGGTTCTTCCTTTCAGGTGGCAGACTAGTTTTGAAAATCTGCAAAGAAAACAGTGCCTTTTATTTCTGACAAAATGTGTGGGATTTGAAAAGCAGGGAGGAGAAGATCAAGCGGTGCCATGGGGTCTCACCAATTTGTTTGAATTTGTCTGTGCTATGCCTGTCCTCCATCAGCACATCTTAAATCCAAAGGTTTTTCTAAACATAATTTACTCCAGTTGGACCATCCATAAACTTAAAGATTGATTTTGCTGGCTTGGCTTCCTCTTTTCACTTTTGCACGTGAACAGAATTCCATAGAAACCTCCTACCAGTGCCTCCTACCAGGCCAGTTTAAGAGTAGCACAGGACTCAGCCAGCAAACCAAGGCAATTTGAGCAGTGTCCTGTCTCCCTCCACTTGAAACTGGAAACTGTACCCAAGTAAGAATTTTTTTAATGTCAGTGGTGATACCTGGATGCCCTTCTTCCTCTCTCCCAATGAATATGGTAACTATCCTAATTAAAAAACCACATGAAGTAAAGCTGTTTTCTCCGAATTCATATTTCAGTTTCAAAATCCAGAGCTATCTTAGAGCAGCCAAGCAGTCTGAAACAAGTAAGCTCATGCCATACACTCCTCCCAAGCCTTTTCACCACAGGAAGGCAACAGTCTAATGCTTAAATACAAAATTACATTGAAGGAATTGTAACATTAACCACAGCTTCAACATTTCCTTTTCCAGACAGTGACTGCAGAAGACCACTGCAGGACTGATGGGATGAAAGGGTGCCTGCTGACCCGTGGAAGGCCAGCTTGAATACCTGAACTTCGCTTCCCAGCTTTGCACAAGTAAGAAGGGAAATGTAGGTAGGTGTAGAAAACCCCCAGGCAGACATGAAGTGAGGAAAGTGTTAACTACAAGCAGTTCTTTCTTCAGTGAATGCAGGTTGGTTTCCACCAGCAGGCTGGAGTCAGTACATGTGAAAACTTACTATAATTCTTGGAGTCTGCAGGCATCAGCTACACCAAGCTCCAGTCTAACCCTAATGACTTGGAGAAGTCATTGCATACTTTGCAAGGAGCTGGATCGTGTTTCAAAAGAGACTTTTTTTACAGAAATTCAGGTTTCAGCAGTGGGACAGCATGGGTAGAGTATAACAGTGTTCTTGAACCAATGGCTCATTCAAACTGAATTTCCCTTTTCCACTTTTCCAGAGGCTGCCTTTGACTCTTAAGAGTGATGGCACATGAATTGTAGACTAAAAGGAGACTGTGCCAACCAAGTTTGTATAGAAAAATCACTGTTAACAAGAAATTAGTAAGCTGATGTATTAAAGCCTGTTAACTTTTTAAATGCAATGAGCTGACCTGTTCTTTATCTGTTCCAAATGGCAAAAAAATGTGACATTTGAAGAACTGTTGCCTTTCATTGTAATGGTAGCTAACATGATGCTGACTTTGTGACATGCTTTAGCATGCTGAAGTTTCTCTAAAAATAATGTTACTAGAGAAATTTAATTAACTTTACTCAGTTCTTAAAAAAAATCCTAAAATCTGCCCTTGGAACAGATTCTTTTATTAAAAATAAGACAGAGCCCCACACAGTCATATTATAATCCATTTATTAGCATACCTTGTGAGCCATTGGTGTTGATCCAGGGGACATGACAGATTTGGCACTGGACTGATTTCAGAGGTATTCAGCCCTTAGTAGAAAGGGATTTTAGTAGGACTTGAGTGGGCTACTATACAAACAAGTTTCTGATGTGGAAAATTAAGTATTTTTCCAAACAAGTGAAAATGCAGCCCAGGAGATGTGCATTAGTCCAGGTCACAGTGCCTTGTTCTACAAGGAGTAGTCCCAACTTGGTTATCACCAGAGGTGATTCTGTTTTCTCTAGCTGTAAGAAACTCCCAGTGAGTCTATCAGGATAGTGTCAAATACCACAGTGTAGTTTCATCTCTCCAAAGTTCTCATCTGATTGCTGAATATACACATAAAAAATCTGTCTTCAAGTGGTCGAGGAATCACTGCAGCTCTTTTAGGGTGAAGAGACTTCAGGATACAGGCTTCAGAAAGAAAGGGAGACAGACAAAAGGCAGATCTACACCTCTGTTACCCCGAGACAGCAAATACCCAATTTTCCTGGTTCCTCACCAATGCCTCCACTCATACCTTTGAGAAACTGATCTGTTCTTTTCTGCTACAAGTTTACGGAGATTATAAAGATAATTGACATCCTGTCTAGGTTAGTAAACAGCTGCCTGATTAATTATAGCATAGAACATAATTCATAGAAATCATCAGAACAGTGTTCAGCCACAAAAAAGTGATAAATATTTAATCCAGCTTCAGGTGGCCAAAGTGTGAACAGGTTCGAGATTGTACCCTGCAGGCACTGCAGGCCAGGAAGACCAGCACTGAGGCAGCCTTTGGAGCACTGGGGTATTCTCTCAAAGAGGGAACAGCACTAAGAGCTTCTCCTTAGATCCTTACCATAGCCATGTTGCTACTCCTGCCAATGCTTCTAGCCACTCACAGTGATGTTCCCTTTCTCACACAACCATGATGTGCCACTCTGCTATGGAAAGTTCTCTCAGAGCATGCATGTGGCACAGTGCAGCCAGCAGCACCACTGACTGAGCTCTCAGCTCCTGGAACCAGTGCACATGCATTAGCCTTATCCAAAGGAATAATGCTGTGAAAGTGGATTGTCTCAGGCCTCCTCGTATGTCAGCACAGGCAAAGATCTACACAGCTCTCCAGATGCTCCCTGTCCAGAGCTCCCCAGACAGACCTACAGCAATTTCTGTGAGCTCACTGGGACTGCTGCACCTACCTGATACACAGGGGGAACTAACCTCGGTGGGTTTTCATCCCCTTGTAGCAAGGCTGCCACCAAGACCACACTAGCAAGTTTAAAACTAGCTCCAGCATAAACACAGCACTGAAATCCCTTACAGAATTGCCTGCTATAGAAAACTGTACTCAAATAATCAGCAGGGAATACAGCCTCCCCCGGCAAACTGCGTTCAGTTGTTTACTGAAGTTTAAAGATCCATCAGAAAGAGAAGACACAGAGAAACAGTCAGCATGTTATCAGACACCCAGACAGTTTGGATTGAAGAGAGACAGAGAAGCCACAGTCTTAGAAAAGGAGCTGTCTCTAGAAAAATGCATAACAGAAAATGTAAAGCCAGGCCTCTTATTTCCTCTCGTGGCTGAGAACACAAGGACAGATGGTACTCAATGAAAACAAAAGGCAATTAATTCAGGAACCATAAAAAGAAATTATGTGCTATGGAGAATAAAATTATAATGGTTTTCATTGCCAGAAAATACTGAGATTGAGAGCTTACTTAGATTGAAACCAAAAAGTTTAAACATTTATATGGAAGATGAAAGCTGATTACATTAAATAGTTTTTTAAAGTTAAGGATATAAAATCTTATACTTTAGGAATAAAAAAAGAATGACAAAAGGATAATGCACAGTGTTTGTACAACACCTAGAAGATTAAGTATTTGCACTTCCATTTTAAATGATGATAATAGTAATGCAAGTAATTAATTTAAATGGGTCAAGAACAAAATTCCCCAAAAGGAAAGGTTGTTAAAACTTGTTCAGCGCAACTCACACATACTGTCTTTTGAAACATCTGCTGCTGTCCAGCATTACAAAATACAGTCCTAGGGTGACTGAGTGCTGCTCATCCAACAGGCAGTTCCAGTAAGCCTTAGTGGCAAAGCACATGAGTTTGGTTTGGGCCACAGTCGCAGGTTAAACAGTGAAGAACAACAGCTGTATCCTGAAACAGGCCAGGTCCATGTAGGAGAGTACTGACAGGCTTGCCTACAGCACCAGTAACATATAAAAGCAAGCAAAGGAGATTGGATACTTCCTTCCCTCCTCCTGGCTCATGTAGGACTTGAAGGGTTTTAATTACAGGGACTCTCACAGCTTTCATAGTGACAAGATCTAGGAGAAAGAAATATTTTTAACTAGAACATGGGCATTTCAGAAGACAATGCCAGGCTTGCATCTCACTTGTGTCACATGGTAATTTGTGCTAACTCCTGAATGGCCACTTGCTAAGAGTAAGCTTAGGGAGATAACCTCACAGTGTCATCCTTTGGGTGTTTCTGTGCCTGTTGGGGTTATGGTATAAACTGAAAGATCAAACAAAGGTTAAACTAGAGATGTGACAGTACCCAAGGCACAGAAATTCCATTTGAGCTGCTGTAACATGCTGGCTCAGAGGAGGCTGAAGGTAAAAGTCAAATCCCTCCATGTTTCCCAGATGGGTACTGTCCCTACCAGCACAGAACTTGGCATTTAATTCCTGAGAGATAAGGAGCAGTCTGCAGCTTGCATTTAAGAGACTCTGCCAGGAGCCATAGGACAACACGGCCAGCATGGAGCCAAGCACAGTGCTGCCAAGGGATCAAGTGTGGCATTTTAAGCAGGGTTATCAGCACAAAGCTGTGCTTAAGACATTCAGCACCTCGAGAAGAGGCAGAAACAGATCAGTTTTGTCTCAAAGGCCAGTTTGCGGGGGTTCTGACATTGCATGTTTTAAGGATTCCGACAATTCTTCATTAAATAAATTAAAATAAAGTTTGCAAGTAGGATTTTAGAACAGTCCATTGCAAAACTGGTAGCCCAGCTATCATATAATACCTGGAAAGGGTAAATGAAACAGTTTAGTTTAGCCTTCACACACAAAAATCAGCCACCAAGTCAGATCAACACCTCTACATTAAGCTAATTTCTAGAAGACAAATTAAAACTTCAGGCAATCACTACTTCTTGAATCCAAGGCAATTTCTAGGATTCTGTCACCACACGCCCTGTAATATGACATTGCTAATTCACAGACTGTACTCTGCCTTCTGTTCTTGCTTTGGTAACACCCAGATACTGAACACCTCAATGCAAACCTTCCAGGCAGCAGATCAGTGCCTGACCAGTTAGTGCCTACCCAAAACATGCACATCTGGCACAAGTTCCATGTGTCCCATCCTATATTAATCATCCACATTCGAGCCCTTGGTTATACATCAAAGCTTTTTGCTCCTGCTCCTGCACAGACCTGTCTCCTCCCTGCCTCATCTGTACACAGTGAGAAGATGCTGCACAGCACAATTGTTAAGGCACTTAGCCCTTCTGTCTATATATTTTTTTACTACTCAAGGATAATATATTAACTTTAAAAAGTGCTTAAGGCACAAGAGGGAACTCTATTCATTTGTTTGGATGAGACAGAAGGAAGAAACTGTATTATTCAATAACCTCTGCTTTCTCTCAGCTTTTTGTCTGTTCAGGCTGAGAACTACAGCTTGATGATAGTGCTTGCATACCCTCAAGTTAAGTCAGTTTACTCCCACTGAGAGGAATAAAAAGAGAAACAGTGCAAAGAAGAGAAAAAGGAAGCATGGCCCAGAGATTTCAAGAATAGGACACATTTCATGAAAGTGGGAAGTTGCTTTGCAGTGCACTTACTGTTTTTCACAAGGAGTGAATAATTTGCTTGAGGTGTATCTATACCCCAGGAGTAATTCCATGTTTCATGGAAAACTGTGAACACAAAGATATTAAAGACTAGCAGCACAAACAAAGGGCAGCTAATAACTATGATGAATAAAAGACCAGTAGGAAGTCCCCACAGTGCTGTTAGATCATGATTCAATACCTGAATGTTTGAGATTAACATTACATTAACATTTGCATTTAAATAAAAATAACATGTCTATTCAGCCACTTGAGGTCAGATTTTTGAGTTCTTCATAGCAATCATGAGGGCAAGAAAGCTACTGCCTCTCACACCATCAACTGATTCTAGAAGATGTTACTTTAAGGCAAAAAAAAGCCCAACCACACGTACAAACTACTATGGCAAAAAAGCAGCAATAAAACCATAGCATCTGGCAGCTGGAAATGTGTGACAGAAGATCACAGCAGGAGGGGCAAGCATCTCTTAGTCCAGGCAGACAGTCAAAAGGGATCCTATGGGAGCAGACCTACTATTCAGAAGAGAGAAGGTTCCCCCTAGAGACATAACAAGGAAGCTGAAAAACCCAACTGTTGACCTGTTCCTCAGCTCAGGTCAAATCTTCTGACTCCTGGAACAGAAGAGAGCTGTTATGAAAAAATATCTGAAGATTTCCACTATGCCAGCACCTGGTGCCATCTTCCAAGCATCTTACCTCTCCTTGCAGCATGTTTCAACTGTCCAAACATATAACCATTAATAGATTTTCAGCAGTAGGTATACTTCTACCATTTCTGTGTGCCAGGGCAAAGGAATAAGTGTGATTGCATTAAAGGATTCAGATATGTAGAGCAACGCATACTGATCATTTTTACCACTGTGCACCTGCTTTCTCTGCTTACAGATTACAGACTAAAGTGAAACCAAAGACTTTAAAGAATCAGTCATAACTGTTTTCCTTCCAGTTCTACATTAAAATCTTTTGCCAGTGTCCAATGACAAAATAAATCTCCATCAGTCACAAACCAGAAGCCACAGCCTTCTGCTGCTGCAGGGCAAAAGGACCATATGCTGAAATTCCTAGAGCTCAGTCATTTTCATTTTAGCTTGGTCACTTTCTTGATCCAGGGTACGAATTTGCTGACCTTTGTGTACACACCAGGCGAATCCTTCCGACCACAGCCATACCCCCAGGAAGTGATGCCCAAAATGATCCAGCGTCCATTTGATCTCTGACACATGAGTGGCCCTCCACTGTCACCCTGACAGCTGTCCACCCGTTTATCTTCAGAGAGGTTCCCAGCACAAATCATGCGGTTGGTGAACTTCTGCCCATAACGGGCCTCACAGTCTTCCCGGGGGAGAAGGGGCACCACCCCCTGCAGCAGGGTTCTGGAATAGGATTTTCCTGGAATAAAACACACACACACACCAGCCAGACTGATTCACATACAGGCAATAGTAGCGACCTGGTGCAACAGTGTTCCCTACAAAAACAGACACTTAGACATTTCTTGTCAAGTTTGCAGCACAGAAATAGGCTGAGCTCAGCATCTCTGAAGCACGAGAACTTCAGAAAACGATGCCAAGCCAGACCACAAAAAAGAGCTGCAAGATCAAAGATGTGGGGAAGAGGGTTGTAGAAAAAGGTTAGATCAAAGGATGAGTCTTACTCCCGGTTCTGTGAACAAGTAACTTGAACCTTGTTCAATTTATCTCACCTCTCCAAACCTCCATTTCCTCCTCAGTAAAGAAAGGACAGTGTTTTCTCAAGAGAATAAATGTAGTAATATCTGTTTAGTGCTCAATCTTCAGAGAAGTTTTAGAAGATGTTTCAGAGGCATTCAAATATTATTCAAAGGGAATTCACTTCATCTTTGGCTAGACTTGAGTGTATTTGATCAAATCTCTTTATTACCCCAGGGTTGCTCAGAACTTAAGGCTAATGTGCTATATTAGAGTATGACCTTTCTGTGCCCAAGGTTTATGTAAGTACACAAGGTAGTAGGTAACTGCTCCTCGTTGAGAAAGCTGGGTTTGGTGTGTGGGAAGGATTCTAGCCACTAAGCTCCAGTACAGCTTAAGGTAGTTACATGGCTAAGTTGCTCCTTGATCCACCCCAAACATCCTGAAGTGACACGTGCAACTGGCACAGCTGACTCCAAAGGCAAAAACGTACTTGCAGTTAAAAAGCTGCAGTAATAGCTAGGGAAAGAGCTGAGAAGGACAGGCAAGTCCAAAATCAACAAGTGAGCTCCTGGGGCTTTTAGAAGGAAGTCTTTCTAAACATATGACTTTTCTCCAGTTACAGCAGCCCCAGAAAGGCCTCCGTGCTCCCTTTTACCTAGGAAGCTTCATAGCAATATGCTCAAAGAGGACAGGTCCAGGCTGTCTTGAACCCAGGGCAGAAACCAGACTTAGAGTTCATCTGTCCTTGCAGAAATACACAGGGCGATTAAGCAAGGTAGTCTGAGAGAGATTTCTCTCTGAGGACTCCTTCTACCTCTAAGCCCTCACTTCACTATGACAGTATCATGAAGAAGGCAGGTCATGGAAACATGGGACCTCCACAGGCTTGCTATAATGGATCTGCACAGGCTGCTCCTTTAGGGGTCTGATGTGGGCAAACACATGTGTAGAAATGGGAAGAAAGAGAGGACTGTGGCCAGATGGCAGCATTGGTCTCTCCCACAGCTTCAGAGAGATGCTATGGAAACCAAAGCTTTTACCAGTATTGAGCAGACTCAATAAGCCTCAAAATCAGATGAAAACACAATAGCACAAAACCCACCACATCTCCCCATTCCTTGAGCAGTGAGAACTTAGCCTTGAGTTGACATAAATTAATGATCATTAATCCCACAGAGGCTTCTGAAGGCAGACTTGGTCACCTCACTTGCCTCTCAAAGCCCCAGCACTCACCTGTGTCTCCCCAGCCGGAGATGATGCAGGCTTGCCTGTTGATATCAGACCTCTCTCTCCTGTCAGGCAGGCAGACAGGCAGAACGTGGTGATTGAAGGAGAGACAGTGCCCTTCTCTGCCCCGCATCCGGACCAGGGCTATGTCGTTATCATTGCTGCCAGCCCAGTAGTTCCTGTGGAGGACAATCCGCTCCACGGGCAGCTCCCTCTCAAACTCATCCTTCACACCCGTGTGGTAATCGCCCACCCGCAGGAGGTAGCGCCGCACATCAACACCAAACCTGGAGAAAAACAGACTCAAGATCTTGATATTCTTACTAAGAGGAAAGCAGACTCACACAAGTCTCAGTTGCTATGAGAATGAACCACCTCCTCATACCACAGTGGTAAAACAGTTCCATCTGCAAGACTGTGGGACCTCTTTAGGCAGGTATGATCATGCCAGCTGTTGTAGATTTGGTTTCCCAAATCACCATCTACCATGCACAGGACTTTTTTTCCTATAAAAATGGTTATTATAGTTGCAACAGGCTTGTGAACTGACCTGTTCACAGTTCCTTAAAACACTTAAAATGGCAAAATGCTGGTTCCCTTTATGTTGTAAAGCTTCAGAGTTAAGAGGCCAGGTGTAAGCACTGAAGGAAAAAGTAAGTTTACATTGAGTCATCCCCATAAGCACTCCAAGATCACATACATCATAACCTGAAGGTCTTGGTTTAGAAACTTTGCTCATGTGATTGCACTGGGCTAGGAGGATAACCTCATACAAGTTTATCTTGTCCACTGTTGAGTATCCCTTGGGGCTCCCCACTCCCAAACACACCTTTTGAAGCAGTGGGCTGCAGTCACCACCCAGCAGCTGCTGATCAGTGTTGCTCCACACAGCAGGCGAGTATCTCGACGAAAACCCTTCAGCCGCAGTGAGGCTTGCCATGGCCAACTGCCTCTGAAGAAGAAACAGAGGAATAAGAGGTAAGAGGTGTCACACACATGAGAGCCATTTTCCTCTTTTCCCATTCACTTTGTCTCATCTGGGCTCAGCTGGCTTGCATTTTTCTCTAGATAGCACACTGGTTCAAATCAAATTCAAAAATCATCAGTGAAAATGCATTAACGGACTCAGCATCTGCAAGGCTATTCCCAGAGCCCGAAGGAAAGCTGGAATCAGTCTGGCTCTCTCAGCAATTACAGGGCAGTACCTCAGAGACTTGTTTCCACCTATGATCCTTTTCTTGCGACGATGGAGCAGGCGCATCCCACACACACCAGACTCTGGACCTGCATGGCAAAGTTAGAGCAGTTGGGAAGGGACCTTCAGCTTAAGTATCAGCATTGCTGTCACAGAGCCAAATACCATTCACCTCTGAGGGCATTAATCCTCAAGGTAATCGACTATGTTGTGTCGTGCATATGGAATTCATAAAACTTTTGATCCCATAGGTTTCCTTAACTTCACTGGAGGTGCTTACCTGAAGTCTCTATAGTCTCATGCCAGGAATGGGACCTATGCTTATACTTCCTCAGTACTCTAAACCCCAAAAGTTGGCTTATGGTTGCTGTTCTAAGGAAGAGTATGGTGGCCTGGCTGTGGGGAAATTCTGCAGGCTCAAAGGCCTGACATGGGTGGAGCACCTCAGACTAATTTGGAACACTCTGTACTGCTAAGAAGATAACTGAAAACAAGAAAAACGTAGGAGGTGCAGGACAGGACATGCTTATTTTGTAGGTGAAGTTTCAGCCAAAGACAAGAATGACAGTGAAAAACCACAAATGCATGCAGAGATCCTACAACCAGAGCTCCAGATTCCTGCATAGAAGAAATGGGAATGTCACCTGTTCTCCTGATGTCTTGGACCTTTTCTTCCACATAGTCACAGATCACCCCAGCATCCTCACTGTGCCAGCAGCTGTGAATCCTGGTGTCAGGCGTGGCACACTGCCCCAAGGTGTGTTCCGTCCCACTGCATTCTACGTTGTCCAGATGGATGGGCCCATGGCCTTCACCAAAATAAGCCATTGCCCTGGCTTTTGCTGTACCACTGCAATTAGAGAGAGGGTGGCTAATCTGCAGTGAACAGGAGTCAAGTGAACCTGAGGCACCAGTGCATTTTAAGTGAAATAATATTTATGTGTCACTCCACACACAGACAGTAGTACAGTAAGAAGAACAACCTACTCCCTCAAGCATATATGGGTGTGCCAAAACTCAAACTAAGCCCCCAGAAACAAGTCCAGAAGTGCTCCTGAAAGCTGTTTCTATCTATAAGATGCCTGTACCACAGCTCTTACCTGAATCCCAGTTGCCTGCAAACCACTGCAGCATCTCTGTCTGTCCAGTCATCATCACAGACACTGCCCCACTGCCCATTCAGCAATACCTCAACCCGGCCCTCCTTGGTGCTTTCGCCATCCACTAGCCGCACAGGGGGCCCTGAAGGAGAAGACACATGGGCTGCTGCAAGCAAAAATACCAGACGGGGTCAGGTGTTCAAAACTTGGGTTCTATAGAAAAAGATGAATCCCAGACATTGGTAAGCTTAAAATAAAAAGTAAAACCAAAACCAACCAACCAACCAAACAGGTGTGTCTATATGAAGACATTTTACCTCTGTGCTGAATTGGAAGACTATATACACACTAATTTATTTAATACATACTGGAAATCATCAGTGGATCATACTCTGAAAGCTGAGTAAAGAGGAGAACAAGAACAGAAAGAAAGTTATTAAATCCTGAGCCAAGAGTTAGACAAGCTTAAACATGCCTGGGGAGAAAAAAGTCCATTGAATTGCAAAACTGTTACATGATTCTAAGCAAGAGAAGAGTTCTACATCCAGGAAAAACAAAAATGCTGGATGTCAGCTATTCCAATAACAAATGTCTGACAGACTGGAAAGTCCTCTGTAGTAAGGAAAGGGGAGAGTATCAGGCATTATATAAATGAGGAAATTATGCTACCTTGAAATACTTTCACAATTTTAATTAGAAGTGTGCCATCCACACAAGGGAGTGCAAACAACAACCGCTTGCATCTGAAGTCCTTCTGTCTTGGCAAGGTGTGGCACTAATGTAACCACACCTAAGTTTCCTAAAAGGTCTAGTTACAGGGTTCCCTTGAGCAATGGCACACTAAGGCAGCCACTGTCTCTCAGTGGCTTGGTTTGTTTCAGAGACTGCCAATACAACTCTCTCCAGTTTCCATTTATCTGCTGGTCTGATAGTAGGTCTGGTGGAGCCACAGATTTGTGGCTGTGCCCCAATTCAGCCAGGGCTCATTCCTCCTCAAAAAGCAGACTCCTTGTCGAAACAGCACAGGGAAAATTCCCACATCTGCTAGAGTTTCCAAGGGAACAGACCAGAAGGTGAAACTTCCCCACTGTTCAGAGCAAGGTGAGTTACCTAGGCTGCCATCCATGACTGTTTTGCTTTCTGAGGAGCAGCGGACTCCCAGATCCTCAGCATGGGAGCAGTCATGCTGTCCCCAGTTGCTGTGGGGACAGTCCAGGAGAGACAGCTCTGTCCCCACACATGCCACATCATCCAGTAAGATGAAGCCTTGGCCAGCAGCATAGTCTCCTTCAGAGGCCAGGGCAGCAGGACCACTAGAGGAAGGAAACAGAAAATAACATTGAAACTCTAAAGGCCACACAAGGACCCAAGCTCAGATCTAAAGAGAAAGTCCCCTGCTTAACTATGGTGCTGGTGGCCTCCTGACCTTGGACACACAAGATGGCAACTAAGCCACCACATCTCACCAGCTTCAGTTTCCAGGGAGACCTTCTCAGACCAGTCCATTTTCTAGTGTCTGGTCAAAGGCACATTCCAAGGCACAGAGGGCCAGCAGAGGCTGCTTTGCAGATATAGCAGGTACATCAATTTGGGGAGGGGCTGGCAGAGGAGGCATCAAAAATGTTGACATTTAAGTAATTCTACTTCTTTATATAGGAAACAGCTACCTGGATTTGAACTGCAGAAAGCTGTAAACTTTTAGGCACTAAAAGAGATGACAAAGCAGTATGTAGCTGAACTCAAAGGGAAGAATTTATTTTTAGTCTTTTTTTCATCTATAAAGTTGAAATTTTAGGAGACCCTAATCATGTTAAAAAAACCCACAAAACGCCATTTTACTAGCTCAAAGGCAATAGTATCCTGATTTTAAATCTTTCCCAAACTCCTACCTGAAGGGATGACAGCTCAGCAATGGGCTGAAAAATCCCTATTACTACTCGTTTTTGCCCTGATGGTCTTTGTTCAACTACTGAAGGCAATACATATGGAGCTGATAGGTGATATCTTTTTACTGACAGAGCAGAAGTGATACCTGCAAATCTAAGGAGTGTTAAAGAAAATTTTCTGACTTTGCTGAGGGGTTCATAAGGACAGTATTAAGCGTGTTATCTGCTTTCAAAACACACTGAGGCAAGAGATAATAGATTTATTTTAGCCCCTTGGAAAGGATGTGGATACCTATTAATCTTTCCTTAATAAGTTGTATAATGGTAATAAGCCTTCTAACAAAGGCAGCATTGAAGGATTAAGGTCTGGCCTATCCCAGTGAAGGGTGATGGAATCTAATCCTTGAAATTAGGAAGCACAGACACTACACACTCTCAGTCCTACCTGAAGCCCAGCTGCCTGCAGACCACCTGGGCACCGAGGTCTGTCCAGCCATCATCGCACACGGTGCCCCAGTCTCCGTTGTAATAAACTTCCACCCTGCCTTCGCTGGGGCTGCGGCCGCCAGCCAGCCGGACAGCGCCCTCTGCAAGCGATGGGAGAAGGAAAGGGCAGCACTCAGCAGGGCAGGAAAGAAACAGCCTGTGCACCACTGCTGGGTCTCCGTACTGCCCACGAGTGAAAGGAACAAAAGACACAGATGTCTGTGGGTACTCAGAATACAAACGTTCATTGCTTCCAAACATACCCATCTGTCAGGGGAAGATTCACTTCAGCCTTTCCACACCACCTGAACAAAACCGTGGGAACACTACCAAGTCTGCCTCTGATCCATTCCCTTAGTCTCTGCCTCCACATCAGGCAACTCTTATGGGAGCCATATATGGAAGCTATGCAGGATCCTGAACCAGGAGGCACCTGCTGAGCAAGGCAAGACATGTGGGGGTAAAACCGACCGCATTCAACTGGCAGAGGTGTGCATCTGTACCTGTGAAAGGGTCACAGGAGACCCCAGCGTCTTCAATGTGGTCACAGTTTTGCTGTCCCCAGTCACTCTTCTTGCACTGATCAAGGGAGAGTTCATTCCCTGAGCACTGCACTTCATCCAGCAGGATTGGGCCAGATCCCTGCCCATAGTGAGCCCATGACAAGGCTTTTGGGGTCCCACTGTAAACATTACAGATACGTATGCTCAATAAGCAAGGCCACAGTCTTTTGTCCTCAAATTTTGCCTTGCACAGGGACTCTCCTATGCCAAGTCACTGTCCTCCCATAGATTATCTGTATTTTCAACACAGTGGAGTTGCCAACTGTTAATTGAAACATGTTATTGGAAAGTTTGTAATGAGCCCTTCCAGCAAATAACAAAAATGTTACTACAACATGAACAATTCAGACTTCTGCAGACAATAACATAATAGCAGTCTCAGTTACAATCTCACAATAGGCAAAACTCCCAAAGACTGAGGGATCTCAAATTTGAACAATTTTAAATAATCCTGTACAGATGTGATTTTCAAGAATGCTCAGTATACAACTCCCATTTTAAGCACTGAATGGCACACAGGAGAATGAGTTGTTTTCTCTTGCTTTCTTGTCTGAAGAGGATGAGGGCAGCCAGTGAAACTAGAGGTATTTAAACTTAAGCAAGTAAGCAACTGCAGTTCATATATGGAAATCACCATGACAAGCTGTCATTGAGGCCAACAAGATTTGTATTAGGACGTATGCAAAAATGATGAACAGGCGTAAACACAAACAATCCTTAGACAGGAATGTCCTTTTTTATTTTATTTTTTTTACACAGCACAAACCCATAACATTGAAAATAATGGGATACAAAATCCCTTCATAGGATGACCAGTCCAGAATTATGTTTCCCAGGGTTTCTGTATATCTCCTATAGGAAGGGCTGGTGAAGGGACATGCTCTCATGTTGTTCGTTCTGCCTACTTCTATTACTACTCCATGATGTATAGCAAAGAAATTACCTGAGTCCCAGCTGTCTACAGACTACTTCAGCATCCCGGTCATCCCACTGGTCATCACAGATGGTTCCCCACTTGCCATCATGGTAAACCTCCACTCGCCCTTCAAAGCTCTCCTTCCCCCCAACTATGCGCAGTGGGGCACCTACACCTGTGCTTCAAGAAAGGGAAAGAGAGCACAACAGAACAAGACAGAGACAAAGCACATCCAGCAGCTCAGGGTGCAGAACCATTCTCTAGCCACAGGAGCTCTCGTCATGCTCTTTTACCACATCCTCCCGTCTAGACCCCTCACAAGCACCCGTAATTGCAGCCCCCAGAGTGGGATACTGCTGGTCCAGAGATGGCTCTTTAATTGGCTGCTGTGCTGACCAGGAGTTTTCTGCCTGCAGACAAAAACCTGGCTTGATTAAAAGGGGATGTGGTCAAAAGCATCAGCCATCTTTTGGTGACTGAGATCTTTCTCTAGGGATTTACCTTCTGGAGGAACACAAGTTACCACGGCACTCCCCTGGTTACAAGCTCCTGACACAGCTTCCTGATAGCCACACTGCAGCAGGGCTTCCTCATCTCCATGGCAGTTTGCTGACTGCAGGTGCAGGGGAACAGGCCATGGTCCAGGATGACTCTTCTTCCCTGCTGTGCCGATCTCACTGTACAGAGGATGCAACAGAACAATGAAATGCCACAGCATGGCATGACTTTCCCTCCATTGTTGTGACTCTCCAGTCCAGTTGTGACACTTCACATCCCATTGTGCCCAGTTAATTGGAAGTGCATAAAGGAATGACCATTTACAGTCTAATGGGAAAGCACAAGCAAGCACAAAGCACTTCTTAATCCTTTTGCATGCCTACTACTGCAGAGGAGTTGGTGTAGTCATAAATGGCACTCTGATTTGAAAGCAATGAACAAACCCATCAATAGACTCAAACACCAAACTATCTGAATCACCTGCCCTCTCTGTGGACCTTATCTCCTTGCTATTTGGAAGTTTGAATGACCAAATCATAGATACCCAAATAGAGTTCATACTCCTAAAATTTCTAATAGATCACTATAGGAACTCCAGCTGATGATCATAAAAAGGGAATGTGATCTCACAGCTCACTTTTCACAGCCTGGAGCATGAAGCAGAAACTATTGTTTTAAAAAATTCTTGCAAATGCTTATTGGGTTGCAGATAGCCACAGAAAGAAAACAGGACAAAAGGACCCTGGTAAGTGGGAAATTAGACAATAAAACAAACTCCTTTCTGCCAACACACTGTGTCAGAGGGACCGTAACCACAGAGGCTGCTTTTTCAAAAGCCACACAAGTATGTACCTCTGACAACGAGACTGAGGTTCCCACCTGAGACCTAGCTGCCTGCAGACAACACTGGCATCCCAGTCAGTCCAGTGGTCAGCACAGATGGTACCCCAGAGTCCATTGAAGTACAGCTCCACACTACTGTCTTCAGCCAACCGCACAGCACCTTCCAAAAGAGGAAAAAAACAACCAAAAACCAGCTGCTATCTGCTGATAAAAGTTTCAGACCAGCAAGTTTTGGATTTGCACGTAGCTGAGCTGAACTGCACTTGGCTTTTTTCATCCCTGTTTTGCCACTAAAGTGATGTGCATGAAAGACTGTGGGATGTGGCACCTTCCTAGTCCCAGCAATGGTTGCTTAGGAGGATGGTTGGTCTTATGGTCTTTTCAAATCCATGGTAACACCAGCAGGAAATTTGGCTTCTGCCAAAGCTCCTGGATTCTCCTTCTGTGAAATGGGGATGGTTTAACATGCTATCTTGAAAGGGTGTGTGAAAATAGCAGGCTATCTAATTACTTCTGACACTCCACTGATCTATTTCTATCAACCACTTCACCTGCATGACTCTGTTGCTACAGTGAGAGGTTCAGTAACAGCAGATAAATCCTCTTTAATTTCGCTAAAAAAATGAAGTGCCAGTGTAAATGCCCTTTCAATTCCCACCCCACCAAAAATTTTATCACTGTTTAGAAAGCACATCTCCTTCTCAGTTATGTACTTGCAGAAGGACACACCTGTCTGCAGTAGCTCAGTGCAGACACAAAACACCACTACATTTATCCTTCCCTGTAATGAAGCCATCTTTGAAAGCACATCCACTGGCAAGAGAAAAGACTGTCAATTCATTTATTAAACTGGTGTTTCAACTGTTCTGCAAAATGCAGGAAAAGCAAGGAAGGTCAGAAAACAGGACATTTTCAAGAATGCTGCACAGCAGTCAATGCACTGAAGGAGCTCAGCTCCTTGCTTGCCTCAAAGTAGGCAGCAGTCCTTGTGACTGCACTGAGGAAGTTTAACACAAGCCTATAACCTGCCTTGCCACAGAAGATTTTTTTTCTTGTTGTATTTGAACTGTTACACTTACAAGAGGAATGCTCTGATATGGACCCTAAAGGAGCAGAAGTGGGTTGTTTTCTACATAACTAAAACTGTTTTCAAAGTGTCATAAATTAGCAGTAGAAAAAAAGAAGTCTCCTTATATGAGAATAAAACATCTATGCAACGCATTACAGCTACAGCAGCTTAAACCCACCCCCTACTATGTACAGACGTTCTTCTCCCACACAGGCTAGCCTCTAGTATTAATTATTTCAACAATTTGGAACAGTCTTGTACTGTGCTTCTTTCACAGGCTGTTCCACTTGCCACTTGCAAGTCTGTGCAGCACACATCTGTGGCTTGAGCCCTGAGGCAGAGCAGCCCTTACCTTGTTTACAGTCACAGTTGGCCCAGCCGATGGCTCCTGACACCAGCCTGTAGAAGCACCAGGGCGTGGCTCCCCCGTCTGGGTTCCTGCAGTAGTTGTGGTCCCCCAGGCCATGGTCTGGGTACTGCTGAACATAATCAGGGAACTCTGCCCAGTTGAGACACTCTGCTCCGGCCTCGGTGACTGCCAGTGAGCCATTGTAGTATCCGAGAGGTCCCACAGCACACACGCTGGGCGCTGGGCACAGGGAGGGAGCGTTAGCATCACCTAAGGCATCTCACACTGAAGCTCAGACAACATGGGAGACACCAGCTGCTTATGAGAAATACCCCTCGTGTCTGCCGTCTCAACTGCTGCTTGCTTGATTCCAACTCTTGCACTCTTCAAGGTGCTGCTCAAAGAATATTCATAATACTCACTGTCTAAACCACCAATTGACCTGAAGCAATGAACTGCCCAGACAGACCTTTGAAAAGCGTTAACTTAGGGCCCAAACATGACAATTTGAACTGGTTCCCATTACTGTACATGCAATACATGTGCTCACTTTGGAGCACCACTGTACAAAGAAGGAAGGTGGGAAATGACACTGTATTTCATTGCATGTATGTTCCCTATTCACATCAGCAGATCACCTGGCTTATCTGACCTTGGCTAATATATTGGAAAGAAAAGGGAATTTATTTTGGGGGAAGTGCAGGTGCCAATGTTTCAGTGCCCATGTGAAATATCCAGTGTCAAAATACCCAATAATTAATTTATTATGGTCCTTAACAAAAGGAGAAAACTTTCCATTCATGACCCTGAAATAACAAAGTGGGAAAAAAACTCCCAGGCTTTCTAGAGTCCATAACATGGGAAGAGTAGACTGAGAAAGGGACAACATTTACAGCTCTGTTCACTAAGTAAACATAAAGAAGTCAACACTTTCAGAAAACCATTCTGCACATGGGGCAAAGAGCAAGGGTACAAATAAACTTTGCATCATGTAATTTGCCTTCAAGCCACTGCCAGGCCCAGAAGGGGTAAGTGACAGCTGAAGGTTAAATGCAAGGTACAAAAATGAGAAGCAGTTGGAAGTCAGTGTCTGGAAAACAAATCATATGTGTGACATCAACTGGGACCCTCAGAGAGGGTGTCTGAAAATTCAGTAGTTATTAGAGCAGAGGAAAGGTAAGCATGCAAAAAAGACCAAGACAGAGAAAGAGATTAAAGGAAAAGAACATGTGGGAGGAGCAGGGAGCTGCAAGAGTATTCAACATGAAGAAACAGAAGTAGTCGGGCCATGTTGGTGAAGGAAATAAACAGGCATTGGGGCAAGAGAAAAGATTGAAGAAGTGATGAAAAGAAAGGAAGAAGGCCAGGCAGCAGTGGTTCATCGTGCCTGTGGTCTCAGATCACCACTGCAGGAAAGAGTCTGCCCAATGATTGAATTAATAACTTCTTGTTCTTACCTGCACTCTGCAAATGGTTTTGGTTGGGCTTGGATCCCAGGAAAGCCTGGGAAAAGAAATAGAGCAAAAGCAGAGAGATGATTATCCAGTGAAATAAACAGGGGCATGTCCTAAAAGCAGCTCAGCTAAGCAAACACACCCTAGTAACCAGCCTGGTCTCTCCTCTTCAAATACAACCATAGCTCTGTCCACTAACAACAAAATGAATAATTACTGGCCTGCAGAGATTTACCCTTGATCTAAGCACTACGTTACAGGGATCTGCTTGGCTTTTTCCAACAGAGTTGGAAGTCTGAGTGACATGCCCATGGAAAGGAAATCTAGAAGAAAACCATTATTATCAGTAGGAAAAATAACAACTACTCATTCTCTCTGTGTTTATAGGTCAAGCCATCTACAGCCACAACAGCAGAGATTTATCTATTTGAATGACAGGATGATGCCCCCAGAATATCTGTTAAAATGGTAATAAACATCCATGTATAAAGTGGGAAACATCCAAGGAAGAAAATACAAGGCTTTTTGAGGATTTTGTTTTTAATACTTGAAAATATGACACAGCCTATAGTGTTATTATCCAAATGGGGTTAAACAGCTAAAAACCAAAAAATATGAAATAAAGTCCTCAGAATTCTAGTGTCCTGTCTGACTCCAAAACTGCATTTCCTCATATAGGCAGTGTTTTTTGAGGTTATAACTTGACTACAGGCTGGGAGATAGAGATCTCCACTCAACACCACTATATGGTGTGCAAGACCTTCACAGACTCAGAGTGAAAAGAAGAAACTGTATATGCTTCTGCTAGCTCCTTGTAGTTTAATTAGTTTCTAAACATTCTAAATGAACATTTCTAATACTTTTATATGATCAAAGAGTTGTAATTCACAGAGCAGAGATTTGCAGCTACATGATACTAGCTATTGGTAATGGTTATGGTTTTCTTCAACATGCAGTAATTTCACATCTCTCAGCTTCACCTCTTCCTGGAAAATGGGAAAAGTAAAATTTGGAATTAAACCAAATCCACTTCTGGAATAAGCAGAGGTAATTCCCACAGAAACCTGACAAGAAAAACACCTACTCACATCAGATATAATTTTCGAATCAAGCTTATGAATATGATCCAGAAAGTGTTGACAACCATGGCCAAGCTCCAGCATCACCCTCCAGAAGTCAGAATGGGACACTGCATATGGAAGATTAATTCCTGACATGGTTCAGAAGTAGCAGATCAGATCTCAGGTGCGTATGCACAAAGGGATGCACACATAAGCCCTTTTCAGGCAAAAATCCACCTAGCTGCTTGTATCAGGCTGTTGCATGCCCACAGAAGGGCTTCTGGACCAACACTACTGAAGGACTTTACCTGAAGATCTCAGAACTCTTTGCAGAGAGTAAAAAGTGAGCTAAGCTGTACTTTTGTGACTGCACCACTATCCAGGTCCCTCAATCCCTAACTTTCAGTGTACACCTGCAGACACATGTAAGCCTGCCGGTGATATAAGGAGGGGTCAGACTAATTACTGGATGTATATGAGAGACTGAGCCTGCTCTTCTTGGAGCTGGACCATAAGCAAAAGTACTGCAGTCCAAGTAATAAGCTTCCCTTCTAATGAAAGATTAGTTGCTGCCAGTTTCTGTAGCAGCTCCCAAAATACCCCAATGATGACAATCACCACCAATTAAATTCAGTGCAAATAGCCTATGCTGCAAGCATTGCCCCAGGTCTGTGCAGCTATAAATCATCTGTCCACAACAGCAAGAGAGACAATCAGCAAAGAACAGAAACAAAAGGTCTCTCCTGCCAGGGTCACTGCAGTGCCTGAGAAAAACTGGAAACCCAAGCCAAAACATCTGCAAGCCCTTGTGCATCCTGCTTTCTTGGTTTTTTTCCTTTTCTAAATTTATATGCACTATGAAACTAATCTCTCCCCAAGCCCCCAGTCCTTCCCAGAGACCATAACTGCTTAAATGCTCTAGAAAACATATTCAAGTAATAACAAGATCCACTTACAGTGAGGATATTAAAAGACCCATGTGACTTCTTACAAGCAGATAGAAAAATAACCTTTTCTTACCTCCACACATCTGAGACAGGATAGCAGACTTGAGAGCTCTACCAGGAGCCCGAGTATTTTGGAGATTTCCATCCCTCGTATAGAAAGTGAGCAGAGGGTTCTTCAAGCATCACATTCTGTTTCAGCTGCCAGGGTCTGCTTTCCCACGCTAGCCGCTCCCCACCGGAGGGAGCGGGGTGCCTTTTCCATTTCTATGCAGGGAAAGGGATGTGAGGAAAGGAATCAAAGTTCCCAGCAGCATCTTAGAATTTCACTTTCCCGTTCCTCTCCCCATCTCTTCTCTTCAGAAGAGGGAAGAAGAGAGGAGATAAATAAGGGAACAGAACATGCCCCCGAATTTCTCTAGCACGTTGGAAGACGAGCAGAGGCGAGCACAAGTGGTGGGGCACAGCCCTCAGCCCGCTCCTCACCCCGCTGTCCCCTCCTCTCCAGAGCCTCCCCCGTGCTCCAGGTACGCGCTGCTCCCAGCGCCAGCCTCCGCCTCCCCGCCCCGTCTGCCCAGCGGCGGGGCCAGCCGCCCGCTCCTCTCCTCTCCTGCAATGCTCCTTCCCCGGCTGCCTTTTCCTGTCTTCCTGAGGCACAGAGGCTGCAGCACGGCAAGGAGCTGGGGCTGCGTCCTATTGCAAAGCCCCCAGCAACAACTGGGAAAGGCAACGGCGTGTGCGCGTACATTTGCCAGAGATTAGACTTCTTGGAAGGAATCTGGACTTTATCCCCCCCACCGCTGCCTCCTCGATTAGCAGCTTGCAGCTTCCCGAGGTCAGCTCTCCTCAGATTTGAACCCAGGTAAATGGGACCCAGAAAACGATGTTAAGCAGCTTCTAGATCTCCCCCGGAAAACCCACAGGTGGCACAGCCCTCTCCAGGGTATGTCCCCAATTTTCAGCCCTGTATCCTGTCATCATGGGTATCGCCCCCGAGAACTTTGCCATCGAGCGGCTCCTTGACCTTGGGCTATATTTTCCCTCAATTGGCTAGGATGCTTTCCAGAGGGTTAATCATTATTGTATTACCATGAACAATCCCATCCCATGGGGGGTTTTAGTGTTTTCAGCTTGCTGGTCCTTCATATCAATTAGGGTTCAAGGCTACAAGCTTTAAACACTATTACATCTATGAAGGCAATTGGTTCATTTGAAGCTGTTCAGTCTTGGAAATCTTTTCACGTGTTCCTTGTGCTGCTTCTCAGCTCAGTCTAATGGGCATTTCCTATACTTATATTCTGACTTTGGAGCAATGAACTCACGGTGTTCTACAGAATGAAACATGAAGGTGACCTTTAGAAATGAGCTCACTTCTGGCCAAATCTGCTGAGTAGCACTTCCAAAGACACCTTCAGCATAAAAACAAGGAACAGGATGCTAAAAATCTACTGATTTGACAAAACGTCTTTTTTTTCCTTCCTTCACTTTTGCCCATTACTCACTTCTCTGGCAGTTTTGTGTTGCCTCATCCTCAGTCACTCATAAAGGCAAGGAAATTTCCCTACATGCTGGATCTTTTACAGGAGTCACTAAGTGGTAAAAAGAAGCTGTTTCTGGAGTGGATTTGGCCAAGAATTACACTCAGTTAATTAGGAGCAAATCTCCTATATCCTCACAGTCAGGGAGGCAGACGATCAGGGCAGCAGGGGATGGAAATAGCTCAGATGCTACATCTCACTGTAACTCTCAGGCAGCATTAGTACAAAGGAGCAGAACAAAATAAAAACATGGGACTGTGTTAGAATTTACAACCACTTATTCCACTGAACACACAAGGAAAGGATATACTAGAAACAAATTCTATTAGCATTCAGAGAAATTAGCTCCTTATTAGAGAATTTTGATGCTCATTCAAACTCCATCCCATGAGACACTCCCTGTTCAAGCCTCTGATGCACAGAGTTTAACACCTCTAGCAGAAGCCTGCACTGGATTTCTCTCACAGAACCTTCTAAGTTGCCTCCCACTCACGGCAAAGTTTTCCTAAATAAAGTGATTTAATAGATAAAGTAATTTTAAAGGAAACACAGACCAGTACACAAAAGCAATAGAAGTCCAAGCCCAAGTATTCACTTTCTGGAAGAATGATGAACTGGAAAGATACAGTGGGTTTTCTAGTTGTCTCCTCTCTGGCAGGTCCTGTTTTGGAACTATTTCCTTCTTACCAAGACTCTCCTGTTTTTTCTCACACATGTAATGACATTCCCTGAGAGAGGTGGATCTCAGATTCTCAAAAGCTTCTCAAAACTACTCTCCAAGGTGGAGAGGAAGACCTGAAAGGAAATTATACCAACATAACTACAGCAGTTCAGATCAGTAACGTATCTACAGATAAACACCCTGAATTTTCTTGTATGTGCAAATTTGAAGTAAATATCTAAATCTGCTATTCAACAGTACTCACCTTCTCACCCTGATATATGCATAGTTCTATTAAGTAAGTCTATGATTCCCTACAGTCTGTCTTGATTTTGCCAGATTTTTCTGTATTGACACTTCTCAACAAGAAATGCCATGTTCTAAAGCATCCCTGGCTCTCTGGAATTCAACCTACTTCTGCCTGAACTGGCAGGACAACTATTCATCAGGACCAGCTGAAATATTAATGCTACCTCCACAGTGAAAACCTAAAAGGAGTAGTTAACAGCAATCATACCCAGAGCTAGTATAATAATTAAGCTATAAGGTACAGGAATAAGATCAAGGAATTCCAGCAGATCTGCTTAAATCCTGTAAATCCGACTTAGGAGGGTAGAACAGCTAGTCAGCTTTTGTTTAATTCTTTCCTCACCACGCGATCACATACAGGTCTCTGCAGCAATGTTCTTAACCAGCCTGCTCAACACCAGAACAGAGTTTTCTTTACCCCCCAGCAACAGCATCATGGGGTGGTACAAGCCCCAGCTCAGAAAGAACAGTGCTATTTCATGAACTGTTAACGGAGTGATCCTCAATACGAGCATGTCACAGAATGCATTTAAACACCCAATATAAGCTTAAGGGTGAGATACAGGAAAATGGCCAGCAGCTCAAGTTGCCAAGGACAATCAGTAACTGGAGGGTTTTTGGTTACGACAAAAAAAGCAAAAGAATTGTTCAAGTACTTTTAAAGGAAGCACTGTAACACCTGGGTGCACCTGAAAAGCATGGTTTCCTTTCAATAAATAAAAGAATTGGGAAAACCTTAGCATAGCAATTTCAAGCTTATAGTAGACATATAAAAGGTTAGACAAAACCCCAAACAACTGAATTTGTGAAGCTCACCACAAAGCACTATAAGGCAAATATACCTGTTCAGATTAGTGGGAGTTGTGCAAAATTTCAAAAGTAAAAATAGAAAAAGGTATTAAGTGTCTCTGTTACAGCCTCTTATATAAGACTGTTCTTCGCAGACACGAGAATTTGGTATATTCAGCACAGATGCTATCTGAAGAGATGTATAACTACTTCTATTCCAAGTTTTAATATGAAGAAAAATCATCATCAACAGAGGTGAATCAGTTCCTCACTCCCAATCTATCTTGTATCCTCCAGAAAAGAAGGAACAGCAAGTACTATTCCTTTTCACAGTGTCTTCTGGACAGAAAATGCAAAATATCACAGAACCAGTGTTTTCCCAAACTCGGATGTAGATATTGTGTTCTTGATGACACCAAGTCCTCTGAAAGACCCAATTATGCCATAACAGCAACAAAAGGATAAGCTACCCTCTGGATAATCCACTAATGAGCCACTGTAATTAACAGCTAAGTGAATGTTGCTTTAGTAACTTGAAAGCCTTTACCTGACCAAAACTTTTGAGAACAGGTATCAGCCTGGGGCTCCAGAGGACTCCAGCAAACTCTACAGCCATCTATGGGTAATTACACAGTCTGTGTGTGCCTGCCTCCCCTTATTCTGCTTTTTCTACACACCCGAAAGAATTACTGATATAAATGGTTACAACATTAGTCCTGCAAAACACTGCATTTTCCCCACCAATTAAGTACTGTCCCAAGAACCTGCCTGCAGTTTTGTGGTACTGTAGTGGAAACCATCCCCGCTTCCCCAATCAAAACTAAAAATTAATTACATCATTTCAATTATCAGTCCATTCTTGAACTCTCTCTCCCCCTTCTAGTTTTTTTACAAAAAAAAAAAAAAGAAACATTTTGTTGTAGATTATGAGTTGCCCAAGTTAAACACCAGCCTTGCTTTATTACAGTACAGACAAAATAATCAAACTTAAGTGGCACCACACCTGTCCCACCTGCAAATCAGTGTCTAAATCACAAACTTCCATGTTAAAGTTAAATTTGATACTTACCAATGTATTACGTATAAACAAGGCATTTTGCTGGAGATGTTTTCGAAATTCTACAGCCTTTTTTTACAGCAGTGGAAATTAAAAAGATTTCAAGAGGCACCAGGTTGTGTATACACCAATGTAAGAGACAAGCCATCATTACCATCAGTACTATCAATTCTAACTTGGCTCAGTGTTTGAGCCCAAACACTTTTTGATAGCAGCTCCAGAGCTGGGCAAGCAGCTTGCATGTGAAGAAGTCATTCCCTGCTAGGAAATGCATTTACACATGTATGCCTAGAAGGTTTTATTTAACAGTGAAGACTCAAGTAGTTGAACAACACACTGCAGAAATCTTAACACTGCAAGACCCAAGAGTCTCATGAACAAAATCAGCTGATACTCGAGATGGGTGGTTTTTGTTCTGGAATCAAAAGCAGGGTCAAGATCCACACACCACTTGACAGCAAAAAATCACTCAACTTGACTTTCCTCTTTTTTGACCAAGACCCCAACTTTAATTGCTTGTCCACAGTCTCTTTAGTAAAGTACATTATACATAACGTGTGATCTGAGGAAACCTCTTCAGCAGCTTGTTCACTTTGCTTGAAGGCAAGTTTCCCCTGGATGACAGGGTGTCCTCATTTTGACTCTTGCGCTCTTTCTGAAAGAGAAAAAAACGCCTCAAAATATTTACTGCTGTTGATTTGCAGAGCTGATGCTCATTCCCAGAGACTATTACTAATTGTATGGGGATGTTTGCTTCAGAAGAATAATATTTCTTTAAGGAACACTTACAATAGCACTTGGCTCAATAATCACAAGCTGATGACCTTTAAACGATGCAATTAATAACTGACATCTTGTGAAGATTATATCCTTCCGTATTCTTAGTTAACGATGATATAAACTTCTGGTAACAACCCAGATCTTTTTCTTTTTACTTTCTATTATTCTTTGATCTTTGCTTTATTCTTTGTCATCTACCAAATGAGCTGTGGATAATTTTTCACTTATGCTGTCAAACAGCATCGGTAAATAACTATTTATATGACGACACTGTTACTGAAAGAAAATGGAAACCTGAAACCAGTTTAAGGACAAATTTAGTACATATACTTACCTTTAGTCTACTTGAAAATTATTTCAAGCTTGTCATATAGTATTATTATAATATGTTAATATATAATCAGAAACCTCTAATTTTCAAACAGAATTAAATTTATTTTTCAAGAACATCTAACCTTCTAAGTCAGAAACAGGTTGAAAAAAACCTCCAAGATCACTGAGTCCAACCTTGACCAATGGCCACCTTGCCAACTAGATCATGGTGCTAAGTGACATGTTCGGTCATTTCCTAAATGCCACCAGGGATGGTGACTCACCACCTCCCAGGCCAGTCTGTTCCAGTGCTTCAGCACTTTTTTTTTTTTTTTTTTCACTTTTAGAGAAAAAGTTCTTCCTGATGTTCAGTCTGAACCTCCCCTGGCACAGCTCGAGGCCATGTCTTCTTGTCACATCACCAGTTGCCTGAGAGAAGAGGCTGACCCCCACCTGGCAACACTCCCCTTCCTGGTAGTTGTAAAGAGCAATGATGTCTCCCCTGAGCCTCTTTTCCAGACCAAACAGCCCCAGTTTCCTCAGGCCCTCCATCACCTTCATTGCTTAGCTGCTCAAATGGGTCACAATCAAATTGCTCAGAGAATATTCTTCTTACTGGCACACAAAAAATGACTGGAGCCTTTCTCCTTTCCTCCTACTAGCCTTTAAGAACATAAAAGAGGCCTTAATTACTTCTGCCTTTGCCACGCAGTCATAGAACATCCTGATCTCCTTGGCACAAGGCGCGTCGTTGAAGTCATTCTGTTTCCAGCAGGCCATCATCACTGACATCTCCGTAATGCACGTTGCCTCTGGAAGGGAAAGACAACCAGAAACCTCAAGGGTTTGGGATTTCATGCTAACAACCTCCACAGTGCATAAATCTCAAAGAATTTTAAGACGGGGTAGAGGAAGGTGAGAAAATGCATAACTAAAAATCCCAGCTTTACTTTGGGCAGAGAAGTTGTTGCTAACATAAAGCAACAGCCCCCTGCAGTCATTCAGCACCTGACTGAATCTTTAAGGCAAAGGCAATGCTAGGACGCAACGTGTCTGACCCACGTACGACACAAACTCAGGGTTGCGGTGCGAGGAAGCGATCCTTCCCACAGACCCAGACCCGGGCCCGGCCCCTCAACTCTCGCCCTGCGGAGCACGCGGCGCCACCGAGCTCTGCCGGCAGCACGGCCCTGCCCGGGGCCCGGCCTTCCCCTCCCCTCCGCCGGGAGCTCACCTGTCCCCTGCTCCCGGCGGTTCGCCACCTTGTCGGCCAGCGCCAGCGTCCGGGACGGGCGGAGCGTCGGGGGCCGCTTCTTGTTCCGCCACTGCCCCGACACCCAGCGGGTGACCCAGGCGGGGTAGGCGGGCGCCGCCATGTCCGCGCACGGGCCCCTGGGGGCGGGGCGGGGCCGGGCCCGCCCTCCCCGGCCGCGGGAAGCAGCGCCCGCCCCGGCCCGGCCCGTCCTGCCCACCGGGCCAGGGATAGGCCGTGGGCATGGAGGAACGACAGCGCTGCCGCACTGCGCGGAACCGCTCCGACACCGCCCCAACAGGATCCGTGCAAAACTCCTTCTGCGGCAGAAGTAACAAAGGAAAGGGCAAACACGCTTCAGCCAGATCAGCAGAAATCATGACTGTTTAAAGTAATTCAGATGGAATTAAAGAAATCACAGAATGGGCGATGCTGGAAAGGACCACAGTGGGTCACCTGGTCCAACCTCCCCGCTCAGGCAGGGGCGCAGAGCACATTGCACAGGATTGCATCCAGACACCTATGGAACATCTCCAACGAGGGAGACTCCACAGCCTCTCTGGGCTGCTCCACTGCTCCGGCACCTGCACAGTAAAGTTGTTCCTCATGTTCAGATGGAACTTCCTGTGCATCAGTTTCTGCCCATTGCCTCTTGTCCTGTTGTGCAGCACCACAGAGAAGAGCCCTCCATCCTTTTGACGCTCTCCCCTCAGGTACTATAGACATGGATGAGGGTCCCTCTCACTTGTCTCTTCTCACGTTCTCCTGCAACTGTATGGAAACTCTTCTTGGTGCCTCAAACTCATATCACTTAGCTCTCAGTCCCTCATTTCTCTCTGTTACATTACAGCTGGATCTCACCTGCATTGTTCCTGTTGTTCCTTATAAGAAGATACTGAAACTGCTGCTTCTGAAAGAGTAGCATCGTTCCCATAGCCTCATACTCAGTGGTGGGAAAAAACTCGTGTTCCCAGAAGTTTCTTCCCTATGTCCTGGAAGTCCTCAACTCATCTGGCAGGTTCTGGAGTGCTTATGTCCCTATCTGAAAAAGGCAGGCAATACAGAAGGCACGGGAATATTCCCAGGGCTGGAATACAAACAGGTCTCTGCACGGCAGGAGGGACAAGGTGGGTGCAGAAAACTGAAGCGTTAGATCCTGAACGCTGAGGGCACAAACATGCAGATGCTTGTCATGGAGCAGCTCCTGAATATGCCATTTTCCCACTGTATCAGGAACAGCTGGAGTCCTCTGACTTTATACAGAAGACTAAATCAAAACTGCTTTTCTTTGCAATCTCTTTCTTTCTTTCTTTCTTTCTTTCTTTCTTTCTTTCTTTCTTTCTTTCTTTCTTTCTTTCTTTCTTCCCCCCCAGTATACTGATTTGAATTAAAATATATTCAACCTCCTAGACATAAAACCCAAGGCAAAGCACTCCCTTTTGCCTAGTCAAGGAAGTTAATGAGACTTTAGAAATTCTGTTACCTTGAGCTAAACATCACCAGACTTATACCACAATATTCTCAATACGGTTACTAGAATTTATTGCATCTGCTGACAATAAATTCTGGTATATCCAATTTTATAATTATTTTTGTGCTACTTTTAAAATAGTATATACTTCATGTCCAAATTAAAGAGTATGAGAACACATGTTCAAGTAAACAAAATATATTTTTTTAGCTCTCTTCTGGGAGTAAATTTTCCTCTCAAAGTCCAAATTCAAATGCTTTCTGGAAGTTCTGAAACATTTTGGTAAACAGAATGTTTGTCTATTTCTATTTTTTTCCCTGAAAAGACAGGAAACAAGCTATCCTTTGAGCTTGACTACCAGTAGAGAAGAAAGAAAACAGGCTGACACCTTCAAATTAGGCCAGGGGGCTTGCACTGTGCAACTCTGAACAATGGAGAATTTGAAAGTCCAAGACAGGGACCTGAAATAATACATTTCAGTATTCGTGTTCATGTGAGGTTCAGCTACTCTTGGTTTTTCCTCTTCTAGATCCCCTTGCTACCTTCCTGCTAGCTACCCACCTTCACCTGCTGCATTTGCCTCCTGCAGTGCCTGACTAGATTGGCACAGAAACAGTAACAAGGAAAGACAAAAGTACCAGGACTTAAGAAAAGCTGGCCTTCACTCCCTGTAAATCAACCTCCCTTTCTCCAAATTACATTAGCTAATGGTAGCAGCACCTTCAAGTCCTTTCACCTTCAAAAGCTGATTGCTCATTTAAGTAATTCCAAGAAAAATGAGGTGAGGGAGGAGGGGAGGCTGAGAAATAGAAAGGCAAACTACACAAGGAGAATTGTAATAGCTTCCTGTAAGTTACTGCTGCCTGCATTAGAACGAATGTTTTGGCATCAGTCCAGTATTGGAGCATCAGCCTAAGAGATTCCCAAGCAGACACAATAAAGTACATGATGGTATCTGCACACACCATGCAAGGATGTCTGAAGCAGGACACAGTTTTATTATTAAACATTATTTTTGAATATTACACATTAATTTTAAGGGAGAATGTGGAACTACAACAGGGCTGTGTTACTCAACAGCCAAAAGTCTCTACAGTTTGTATTTCATAAAGCTGATAGCATCAACTCTCACTAATGGATGGGACAGAAGTGCTGACTTTATAGGGACAGTCAGAAACCAAACTCCCTCAACAGTGAGCCCCAGAGATGTTTCACTGTGAATCCTGAATGTACAACTGTAAAAACCATGTAAGACTTCAATTTTCACTAATTAGCATATACAACTTTTTTTCTTGTATAAACACCTTGAAAGCTGAATCCTAGCTTGCATTTCAGCTGAGCAAAACCAAAATTAACCACAGGCCTTAAACTATTAATACTAGATTTGAAAACAATGTACATCACAACTGAGTAAGGGCCATGTCTGGTGCTACAGTAAATGCTATGCCACAATTAAATACAATGCCAACAGTGCTGTGATAAAATACACCCTTTAAAACGAGATTGTTATCTTAAATACCTCTTTAAGAGATGAGAAATTACACCAAGTATTCTTCACTTTCTGGTGTAGTTATGTAAAACCTCCAGATACTGCCTAAAATTCAGTTAGGGGATGAGGCTAAGAAATCAGTTTTATTGGGAAAAAAGCATAGAGTTGATATCCATGCATTTTTGATTGCCTGGATCCAACTTTCAGGTAAATTCCAGTATATTCACACAAATTTATCCTGAATACACCAGTTCTTCTCATACCAGTTCATAATGCCCTCACCTACCACTCCTTTATTCTCATCTGTCTCACCCTGACCTCCTTAAACTAATTTAATTAGATGCTTTAAAATTTAAAGCACTTCCACTTTAGTAGTGAAACTAACCAGTTTGCTAAGATTCCAGGTGGTTCAGACTTAACTTCTGCCTTCTGAGCTATTGTGTTTGGACAGTATTAGCACTTAATGCTCTTATTAGCACAATGCATTCATGCACTGACAACTAAACGTGTCACACCCCATCCCAACTCCCACACCAGCCCTTATCTTGTGCTATCTCGATCAGATCAGCTGCCCTGCATTTTTCTGTCAACCTGAGTAGTTCTGAGCTGCCATCCCTAATCCCCAATTCCCAGGATTTAGGAAATTCAGCCCATTTCCACTGCAAGTTACCTGTGCCTCCTTATTTGCTCAGAGATGCCATAAAGTACTATCATCTGCTCTGATTCATTCCAAAACCCCCAGAACCATCTCTAGCTGAGACACTTGCACATTCAATGCGTCTTTTCTGCAGTAAAAAATGCATTTAACAGCACACAAATTAAGATGCTAGTGGTGTAAGAGCTCTGGAACAAACCCTGCAGCTGCATTCCTCTCCATCCTTCCTAATCCCTCTGCAGGCCATATATCTCTCATTGCCAGCTCTCAGACAATGAACCATAAAGAGAAGTACAGTTTGTTAAAGTCTGACGCAATCTTTGGCTCAGTTGGTCATATCACTAAAAGGATTTTGTCTCTGATTAATTTCAATCTGCCAGGAGAGGTCTCTGGGCAGAATGAAGGTACCTGCCACCCTGTATGTTGCCAATTAATACAACTTCCCAGAAGGTGCCTGGAGATCCATCAATAACCTTAATTAAATACAACCAAATAGATGACAACTAGTGATTAAGGGAGTGGCTCTCCTGGGACCATGGCTGAAGAGTGTGTATGGCAGGACAGTAAGCGAGGCAGATGGCTGCTTGTCTAACACAGCAATGCCTGAAAAAACTGATGTCCCTGATGGCTGAGTTCCAATTCAATTTATCCTGTTCCCAGTAATTTAGAAGTTGTTCTTCCACACCACTTAAAACTACCCTCAGTCAAAGTGCAAGAGGGGCATTTCTGCTGATTCTCCAGCTGTGGCTGCACTTTGCAAACCATTTCCAGAGAAAGCAGCTCATTCTCCTTTCCCTCTAAACATATACATCCACTGCTGCTTGGGTCTCATTCTACTTACCATTAGAGAGGACCTAGAGGTCTTTCGGTTTGAAAATTACTACAGTGACTGAAATAAGAAAAGGCAACTCTCTCTGAACTCCTTTTGAGTTCTAGAAATCATAATGTTAGGTGTCAAATCAATATTCTTCAGTGAGGTGTTATGCTTCCAACAAATTGCAGTCTTTGCAAAAGGACAGAAAACACAGACTACTAGTTCAGTAAATAAAATAACTGGCTTCTAACTGAAAAAATAGGCTGCACATGGTATCACAGTTTTGGCAGAAGAATGAGAACTTGGCTTGTCCAATCAATGCAATGCATTGAACTGCTAGATTTTTAACCTTCAGTCAGCTCTTTGTTTCTTGTCTCTCACCTCTCAGAGGGCATAAATTTATTCTAGCTTGTCAAGTCAATTCTGAGACACAGCATCGATGGAATCTACTGGTGTTTCATGTGAGCAGTAATGAGGAGATATTTATTTTTAGAACATTAATGCTAGTAAATAAAGCTATCCTGACAGCTTTGAAAGACTCCCTCTAGTCACACAGTAAACAGACACAATGCATGACAAGCAGCGAAGCCACTCATCCTAGTCCGTAGCATCCTGCCAAAGCATTCACACAGGTAATCATCTTCAATATTTGGTACCTTTGATAAATTCCTGATTGGTCTCAGTTTTTATGAATATGGGTAC